ATTTAAAAAATGCGAATTTCATGATGTATTACTACTATTTAATTTTTCTAAAGAACCTTGGTGTGTGGGACCTAAACCTAAGAAATGGGGTATCCTTGGAGATGGTCAAGGAATTTTCTGGTATTGCTTTAAGTTTGTTTTTCATTTTTGTGTGAGCCTCTCATAATTACCAAAAGTTCAGAAGCACATAATAAAGCTACCAAACATATTGGATGATCTATATAGACTTTCAAAGGAATTAATGCTTATTTGGAGCCCTGAAGGCGTGATGAAAATATGGAATCTTATCTAGGCGTCAAATCCAAAGAAGAAAATGGGGAACAAGAGCACAAATCAGATTAGCAAGAGAAAAAAAAAAAAAAACAGAGATTTTGTTTAATAATTGGGTAAAGATTCTTAGCTTTTTGGCCTGAGATGACTAGGCTAGGGTTTAATTTTCCTGTACAGGGTGATAGTTTTAGAGATGATTATACAATGTTTATGCGTAATGTGTGGGCCTAACCTTCCAAAATGACCTGTCCAGCTCATTTTTCTTCTTGGGGAAGTTTGTCAACGGCTGATTTGACAGTTTCTTCTAATATGCATGAATGATGAATGTAGAATTACATTTGACCTACGTCGTTCATTTGATCAATATGCCATAAAAAATATCCAGATCCTTTCATTCGATTGGTGCTGGTTTAGTTCCATTCCCTTTGCCATAGGTTTATTGACACGTATTAACTCATTCATATATTTTTAAATCGAATAGTTTTGGAAAAAATTTCGTATTGCAGTCATATGTAACATGAGATTTTGACAGATGGAAGATATTTTACCGACATTACATAATCGTTACACAGGAAAAATAAAAAACCTTTCTTTCTCTTCTGTCTTTCTAATTAGCAGTCTAGGAAGCTGCGCGAGGATTTGCCACCATTGGTAGAAACTGTATTAAATTTTGTAGGTCACCTATCTCAAATGGTTAGATAACAACAACAGACAACGTAGTGTCGTCCGGTTCATCTCAGGTCCTTATCACTAATGTTAGCTATGGAGGCATGATTTGTCACATAAGATTGTTTTCATGTATTTATTTTTATTGATTTCTTTAAGATATCTTAATAAATTCAAAACAAGAACCACACATGACACATTCGATGTATCAAGCCTTTTCTCACTTGTAAATTACTACTTGTTATCTCAATCTCAATCAAATGAAGCCAACTTTTTTCTTTTCAATTCTGAAGAGTTTCACATCATGAAGGAAAATGATATATAAAAATTGCCAGTCAAAAGAAGCCACTGATACTTCAGCCTGACAATTAAATAGGAGTAGTGATATCATGAGATGTGGTTTAGTTGCTTTATGGTGTTTGTTTGCTGTTTAGCTTATTTTCCAAGCGCATGGAATTTTTTATTTGTATAGATAGCTATGGGGGTAGTTCTTGGATTATGTTTGCAATTGTCTGGCCTGCATTGAGATGCTGATCAGGATATGTTGTGAAAAGTGAATATGATTTTTCTTTGAAATTAAGATTGTAGAATTTTAAAAAATAATATTTTCATAATAAATTTAAAACTGTAGAATTTTTAAAAAAATAATTCTTTTTATAATAAAATTATATTTTTTTTATCTTAAAAACGTAATGTATATTGATTTTGCTGAAATCCTTTGAGTAGCATTTTTTTATCTTTGTATTATAATATATTTTCAACAAATACTAAGTTTTTAATTTTAAAAACATAGTTTTTGTCAAAACTATAAAATTTTGAAAAATAATTTTTCTAATAATAAATTTTAAATAAAAATTATGTTTGTAATCTTACAAATATAGTTTTTTTAATTATAAAATTTAAAAAAATTCTCATAATATACTTTCAACAAAAATAATAACGTCTATTTCAAACTGGAAAAGGAGAATCTTAGTTTAGAGTAAGAAGAGCAGCGGCATTTGTTTTGCTCGGACTTTAGTTTCAAATGTGATCATCAACCAAAGAAATTGAACGAAGAAGAATCAGTGAAAGCCAAGCTTTCGAATTGGTAGTCTTCAACAGAAACTATATACATTTCAAAAAGAGTAGCACTTTCGATGCTAGTACATCAGAGAGAAGCATGTCACAAGGATCAAATTCACTGAGGAGCCCTGAAGATAGACCCACTTTTGGTGCATTAACTCTTGAAGAGATCATCAAGAAGTCTTCAGCATCTTCTTCACGTACGATGTCTCCAAGTAGAAGTCCAGATGAGATGCCCATAATTGGAACCGTTGGGACCTAGTTGAATCATGTGAGCAACACCAAGGAATCTGACTCAGCTACTTCTTTCAAAGTGAATTGGCATTCTACACCATTTGAGACATGGTCGGAGAAAGCTTTAAATAAAAGTTTTTTTTTAATAATAGGAAGAACTGAAAGACTACCTTTTTTTTTTTTACGGAAGAAGCTGTCTTTGCATTTCCTAGCTTTGAATAAAAGTTTTTTTAACGATAAGAAAAAAAAATACTAAGTTAAAAAAAAAAACGTAATCTTTCTTTGCATTTTCTAGTATTTTTACTAGTTTTTTGTTTTTATTTTGAAAATGAAAAAAAAATCACATATATTTTCTTGTAATATTAGGACTTAGAAGACTAATAAAGATTATTAAAAAAACCTTTCTTTGTAATATTAGTTTGAAGGTGCAATTAAGCGAGAATAATATGGAAAAAAAAAATTTTAATCTAAAATTATGTCAAGGGAGAGATTTTATTTTTTTGCTTACTTTCATCTTTTTTATATTGTTGGGATTATAAAATTTCAGATTGAAAGAAAATTTCTTACCAAATTAAAGAATTAATTTATCAAAAAGTTAAACTCCAGAAAAAAAAATTTCAATTCCGTAAACTAAACCTCCTTTTTCATATGATTTAAAAGAAAAAGGCTCCTTTTTTATTATTGGAAAAAAGAAAGGGAGAGAAAGAGTGGGTAAGTCCTTCAATCACTATACTTTGGACTTTGGAACAGCTTTAGAATTTTCATGAAAGAGTAGCTTAAAATGTGATCCATACGTTTTGTTTCCTTACTTGCTTTATTAATCAATAAACAAAATGGTAAAGAGATCCATGCCAAATCCACCAGCAAAGGTTCTTATGTGAAGTGGCCCCTTCTAAAACAATGAATTATGTTGCCGTCCGTATGCAAACTAGGTGTTGTTAAGGTCTCTCATGGAAGAGCCAAACCTGTGGCAGTAGGAGCTTGAATCGATAGGTTTGGCGAGCTATGTGCCGGTAGATGAGTCCCTTATTTTAACAGAACCGTCAAACAGGAAGCAAAGATGTCAAAAAACTGAACAGGGTCGACAACAGGTTGAGATTATAAAAGTGCATTTACAGTCCAAAGAATTTCCCCTGTTAGTTTTCCTGCGAGCGGACAAAGTTGAGGTTGTTAATTCTCGGTGAGTATGAACTACAATTAGTACTGTTGCAAGAATTGTTCTGAATTAAGCATTGAAAAATGTAAAAATCATTTGCTTCACGTTTAAAATGATCCTGTAGTGACTCTATAGTCAAAGCAATTAGGCTTGGGAGCAATTTCTTGGCAAGGGTAACATCCTAGCTCACGAGCTTCGCGGATATGTCAGGTTCAATTCGAGCTTTCTCAGAACCAGAACTGAAATTGTAGCACATGCGGGAAATTTTGTGGTTCTTCGCAGGATTGTGTAACAAACCAGCGCAAAATTTTTTTATGATTAATGCCTTAAGTTAATGACAATGAGTCAATGACCTCATTTTTGTATTTTTCTTTACTTTATGATGACCTTTTTTCCCATTTCATAATCATTATGTCAACATCTTTGCAGAATCCCAAGTTTGTTTCAGTTAATCTGAAGAAAATACCAGTTAGTATGCTTTGGACAGATGGGTTTTTGGGAAAAAAAAAAAAAGAGAAAATTCCAATTATTTGGTTTTGATGAATTGAGATTTTCAATGTGAAAAAAAAAAAGGTTTGGTGAGTTAAAAGATTCATGAAAAGACATGTCTCGTTGGTTTATCAGTAGCATAATAATTTCATGAAAGAAAGTAGTTGATCTTCCAAGAAACATGTGGAAAAAATGTGAGCCTTAGACAATTATAGGATGGAGTTAGACAAAATTAATCATTTTTAAGACTAAAATCATTTTTCTTCTTTGCAACTGATAGATGATTGCGAAACCATGGTGGTCACGGAACATGTTAATTCTTACACCTCTTTAATGCTCGTTTCGATTGTTCAAACAATTTAACAAAACAAAACAGCTGGATAACACAACATTTTTTCCCCAATGTCCCTTAAAAACTACATAAATATTAAAACCTGTAAACATTAGTTTGAGGACATTAGCTGAACAACTCAGGCAAGACAGCAGACATTACATATTGTGAAAGAACATACTAGGAAACTGGTTTTGGTACAAAACCTCCCCAAGAATGAACTAAATAATTGGCAACTGCAGTTTTTAAGAATTGATCTGAATCCTAAAGCCAAAGGGTTCCTGCACACATCTAGGAACTAGAAAGTATAGTGAAACCCATGGAAAAAAACGGAAAAAAAGGTACAGCAAGTCTCGAGAATTAGCAGCTATAAAAGGATTCAGAATCTGACTTTCGCAGGAAAAACATAGACTTGCTGGACTCCTATTAAAGCTTCTTTATTTAGTTCCCTAACAATGGCTGACATACAAGAAAAGAATATAAATACAGTGGCGGATCAAACTTCAAGTCTCAACATTAACTTCTCAAAACCGAAAAAAAAAAAAACTCCCTTCACCACTCCAAAGTTCAACTTTCTCTTGCCACGTCCCTGTATGCCTTTCTCTCTCTTACATATATCTTCTCCGTTTGATAAAATGATAAAATATCCATAACATAAACAAATGGATATAGTGAGAAGACAGCCAAAAAAAAAAAACAAACAAACAAAGGCAAAGAAACAACCACCACGAAACTACCACCTCTTTTTCTTTTAAGTTCATGAACCCAATTCCTTTCCTCCTCCTATATAAACCCTTTTCCTTCTTCCTTCTTTCCTCACTCCCTCGCTCCCCTTGTTCTCTACTGATAAGCTAAAACGAAAGGAAAAAAAAAAAAAAAAACAAGAAAAACCCTTCGAAGATCACCATGCCTTCTTCTTCAGTTACTCTTATTTCCAAATGTACGATTTTCCCAGACCAAAAATCCGACATCAAATCCTTAAAGCTCTCAGTTTCAGACATCCCTATGCTTTCCTGTCAGTACATTCAGAAAGGAGTTTTGCTGACGTCTCCACCCTTTTCCTTCGACGACCTTGTGGTTTTCCTCAAACAATCTCTTTCCACTACTCTCTCTTACTTCCCTCCTTTAGCCGGTCGTCTCACGACCGACCCTGACGGTCACTTGCACATCACGTGCAACGACGCCGGCATCCACTTTCTCGTAGTGAAATCTCCTAAACTTTCCATCCACGACATTTTGTTCCCCGGCGATGTCCCTGATTGTGTCAAGGAGTTTTTCACTTTTGACAAGACAATTAGTTACTCTGGCCATTTCAAGCCGTTAGCTGCGGTTCAGGTAACCGAGTTAGTCGACGGGGTTTTTATTGGGTGCACAGTGAACCACGCTGTGACCGATGGGACTTCATTTTGGCACTTTTTCAATACCTTTGCTGAGATTTCTAAAGGAGCATCAAAAATATCGAAATCTCCCCATTTTTGTCGTAACACCGTGTTTAATTCTCAAGCCGTGCTTAAATTCCCACCTGGCGGACCCACCGTTACTTTCGCCGGCGACAAGCCTTTGAGGGAAAGGATTTTCCATTTCAGCAGAGAAGCAATTCTAAAACTTAAATATAGAGCTAATTACGGTTGTTTATTAACTAAACAAATGAATTCCGAAGTTTTAGGGAAACTCTGTAATGACAGTTGGAAATCCGTTAACGGAGAAACTAACGGTACGCTGAGAAACAGTAATGATGAGATTTCGTCTTTCCAATCGCTTTGTGCTCAGCTTTGGAGGTCGGTGACTCGAGCCAGGAAATTGGAGCCAACCAAAATTACGACGTTTAGGATGGCGGTGAATTGCCGGCACAGGTTGGACCCAAAGCTTGAGCAGTACTATTTCGGAAACGCGATTCAGAGTATTCCGACTTTTGTTCCAGTCGGTGAGTTGCTGGCCAAGGACTTGAGCTGGGGCGCCGATCTGCTTCACAAAAACGTGGTGGCGCACGAAGATGATACGGTACGGAGAGGTGTAGCGGATTGGGAAAAGCAGCCGAGGTTGTTTCCGTTGGGGAACTTTGACGGTGCATCACTCACCATGGGAAGTTCTCCTAGATTTCCAATGTACAATAATGATTTTGGGTGGGGCCGACCTTTGGCGGTGAGGAGTGGTAGGGCCAATAAATTTGATGGGAAGATCTCAGCCTTTCCTGGGCGAGAAGGGAATGGGAGCGTTGACTTGGAGATTGTTTTGGCGCCAGATACCATGGCGGGGCTTGAATGCGACGGCGAGATTATGCAGTATGTATCAGAAATCGTGTGAGTGGTACACTGTAGTGAAACCTCTTTTTTATGTGGGGGGAACCCAGGTGGCGATTTAGGATTGGCGATTACTTGTTAAACCATGATCCAAATCTTGGGGTTGAGAAACCGTGATCTTTGGACGGTTGTGATTTCATTTGTGTAAATCATAAGAGCTAAAGAGGCAACGTTATGGCTACTTTTACCACAAAGTTCGCATGTTGGGTTATGTACGTGAAAGCTTCATATTCCACGTGACGAAATCAAAGCAAACTTTTTTTTTTTTTTTACTATTTTTCTTTTCCTTTCCGATATAAAGGCATGTGTGAATTTTCTAATCATAATTAAGTTTGCCCAACAAATAATTTAGGAAATAGAAAAAGAGAGAAAAAATGGTTCGACTGTTTAAAATGAAGTATCCCACTTCTTTAAAGAAATGTTTTTAATCTTCACTCAATTTGTCAACAATCTAATCAAGTGTCATATACAAATCAAATGGAGTTATTGGATCGAGTAGTTGAGAAAGACTAGAGTGAAAAAAAAATTGTAATTAGATTTCAGAAATCATAGAAATTTTTTAATAAAATACTGAACTTCAACTATGGAATAAAAGTCGAACAGGTATGCTTTAGCGTTTAGTGCTCTGCCATGATTAATTATTAATTAATGATACTATAGACTTGATCACTTTGCAACTGGCAGTCTCAGCAACAGCAACTTTCAATGGTGAACTTTCAAATTGAAATGGAATGATTCAGCTGTTTCGGTTATCTTCCAAACCACGTGTAAACAACAAAGGAAGAAAAATGTTGAAGGGCAGGTTATCTTCCAAACCCTAGGTAAACAAGATATTGTGAAAGGCCTTCCAACTTCCAACTCTCAAGGTTATGTCTACTTGCACTTTATAACTTGCTTGAAGTTGAAAGTATGTTTTGCAGGGAAACCAAAATAAAGAGATTCATGGAAAATTTTAGTTTGTTAATGGAAGTTCACATAAAACCTTCATACAATACAATGACCATACTATTTTAACCCCCAAGATTTTCAAAACCAATGGCGTTCATACCACTGTAAACTTCCATTCCAATCATTTCAAGTCCAAAATATACAACAAATAAACATACTTCCAAAAAAAAAAAAAAAATCATGCATACCGTATAAGAGCCTCTTTGAAGCACAGAACAAGTTTGGGATCCCTATCAAAATGCTATTTCCTCTAATTCTACCAAGCCAACCTATGTAATATATCCAAATCACCTGTAGTTGACTTCTGGGGATGGGAAAAGGCATTTTGCCAGCCATTGCAGAGGTCTCAGTAGCTGTGCTCTCTTCTTCCGCCAAAACCAAATGGCAGCGTTGTACTGTTCATTGCGTATCTTCTTGGTGGACGCTTTCCAATCATACTTCTCCATTTCTTCACGTGCAGCTTTGCCAATGGTTCCTCTCAGTTCCTTATTTTGTAACAGGGGCTCCAGTTTGCTCAAACAGTCCTCAAGATCTCCAGGATTAAAGAGAAAGCCAGTTTTGCCCTCCTGGTCTGCAGGAATTATATCTGGGATTCCCCCAGCACGAGCACCCACCACAGGGATTCCTGAAGACATTGCCTCCAAAACAACAAGTCCGAGTGTCTCAGATTCCGAAGGCATCACAAACACATCCCCACTAGCATATGCCTGAGAGAGCTCTTCACCTTGTAACGTTCCAGTAAAAACTGCAGGCATACCTGAAAACAATTTCTCTAGCTCTTCCCTGCAAAGAAGAGATCATATATTTTTTAAGAGACAAGAACAAATTTTTGCATGATCTTACATCTCCTGATCCAACTTCTGTCATTTGCTACATGAGACTATTACTGAGGAAACAATTCAGGTTAACAATCACTTAGTGGAAATCATATCCCTGAAATTGGTGAGACCAGATTAAAGCATTTGTTGAACCACTTAGGGCATTCTCAGTGAGAGTATGGTATTCGATCTGACCCATCTAATACAAGATATAGATATTCTTCTAGAGTAGGTTAAGTTCATGAGCATCACATCAATTACCTGTATGGTCCATCCCCAATAAAAGCAATCCTTGCTTCTGGAAGTCTGTCCATAACGCTGTTAAATCATATGTTCCCAATGTTAAAAATTTTCAAAATTCATCAACTGAAAGGAAAAAATGTTCGTAATGAAAATTTGACATAACTCCATTGGATTGTTGTTTACAGCTATGACATGGTATTATGTTTTAGTAAATATATAAAGGAAGATATTAGCAACAAATTTTCATGCAATTCATAAATGGTACCTTTTGAGGAAATCCAAACTCTTTTCAACTCCAAGCCGCCCAACATGAATTACCAATGGTCTCTCTGGTTCACCATTGCTGTACAAAGCAAAAATATATAGCATTAAATTACTCCTCTGTAATTAAGGAGAGAGGAACAAAATAAAGGATAAGTGGAGCACCTCAATCTTAACCGCATTTCATGAGAGCAATATCGAGGGTGGAAGCTTTCAGAATCCACACCCTTGTTCCAAAGACGAATCTTATTAGCTGAAAGTATTGATAAATGAAAAGCAGGTTAGTTTAGGGTTCAGCTATCTATAGATATCATCAGCAGGCCAGCATCTGTAGAAGGGAAATAAGAGAACAAATCCCGGAGCTTAGCTCAGTTGGTTCATGTAGCCACCCATAATAGGTGACATCCAGCAAGTCTGGGGTAGCAAGTATGGGGTTCGAATCCCAGCACCTGCAACCCCTTCCCTAATCCTCAGGCTACAGCCTCCTATGTACCAAAAAAAAAAAAAAAAAAAAGGAGAACAAATAAAGCACAAGATGCATTTATCACACTGGAGCAAGCAATGGAGATAGGAAATTGATTAATGCAAAAAACACATGGCTTAGCATTGTACTAACAACCAAGTTAAATTGATTAATGTAAAGAATGTCTATGTTTACCTGCAGTTACCCTAGCCTCTTGGAGATCCCTCCCAATAGCAGCTGATGGAACCAGGGTAAGATCAGCTGCTCTGTGAAGAAATTCTGATAAGAAAGAGCGCAAAAGCTGTCATTACTCAGACTTTGGCATGAAAACTAGCTTAAAAGGGGGGAAAAGAAAAGGTCTTACATACTTAATATCAACCACATAGGTTTCACCAACCAACTAAATGTGTATCTTGGGATATACCTGTAGAATAAAAGAAATTTTAGATTTGGGGTCGGGTCCATATAACAGTTCATGTTGTCTTGAACCTGGAATGATAAACCTTCCAAGAAGCAGCATATAATTTTCTGGGTATCATTGTTGAAGGAGTAACATGAAGGATTTATCTGGTGAATCAAAGAAGAATCGAACTCACACTGGAACATGGGTGTGGTAAGACATCACTATGGGTACACATAGTAGTTTTGCAATAATGAGAGCACCAAAAACCTGCAATGCAGTCCACAACAGCCAGGAATGTATCTCCTATCACTCATTAACTTTTCACTTGAAAGAAATCATAATAATTTATCAAGAGCTCAAATAGCAGCAATTAGAAGTGTACCATGATCCCAGGTGAAGAGGCATGTATTATATCAGGCTTAAACCGTGCAACTTCTGAAATTATTCTTGGACTGAGTGCCAAGGAAAGGGGCACTTTCTGGTACCAAGGACAGGGGAAACTGCAATGAGGAAGAAAAAGATGTATTAAAAAAAAAAAAAACAGCATAGGTACGAATATCCAAAGAATACGCTAATGAAATAGTAAAAACATACAGTTATTTCAACCAGTTCAACAAGCCAGATGGTAACTTCAAAACAAATTGAAAAAGGACCAAAACAAGATTGAAATTGAGGAACGTAAACTAAGATTACTTGACGGTGATGGAAAGAATTTATACTTGATATAACATAAGAATGTTGAGCATAACATATATCTTCACAGAAGAAAAGTGCTTAACATCTTTCATGGACCAGGCTATCAGAATCCTTGGGGTTAAAGACATGGACACTAAATCAATTGTAAGTAGATGACACACAACTAAGATCTAACTAATAGTCATTTCAACCATGTCTTCTACTTTATGGGATTGATAACATTGTTTGATTTATCTACCAACCCTTTCTGGTGTTTATAAGCCTAAGAATGCTTTGTCAATAGTAACTTTTGTAGGGTTTAAAAAATGAATCACCTCTGACTTTCAACATCTTAGAATGCAATCAAAGGTGAAGCAGCTAGTATTTTGTTGCTTCTAAATAAACCCTCTATTTTCAGTTCTAGATAATTTTGCCTAGGAAAGCATGTTGAAATGTAAGTTAACATCAAGCAAATTTGAAATTTTGAAAAGCATAGGTAAGAACAAAAAGGAAATGATGTGGAAGCATAGTACAAACTAGAATTTTGTTGATTACACCAACCTTCTTGATCCAATCAACTTCGCTCCATAGAACTCCTGCGGGACCCCTTCATGTGTAGTTACAACCATTACCTATTAGGACCAATACCCTTATTGTTAGTTCGTCATTTGAAAACGTTTCTGCAAACTATAGGAGACTGATGGCCAAAACTTTTAGCTGGTTTGGTTATGAACTGTTAACTGAGAATGAACTTAAGCTAAAGCGGTATTTGTACAGCCTGCATAGTTGTTTGAACATTATTCCTCCAACATTACTACTGTCAACTAGAAATCACTTGAGTCAAATCAAAAGCTAATGAAATCAACTCTTAAAAATTGTATAACATGGGCCGGTAAGCAATCTGACCCCCACCCAAATGTTTAAGCTTCTTAAAATGCAATGGGGCTTAGACTAAGCTCATGGCAAATCATTTAAAGGTACTTCCATAAACATCATTAGCTAACAAATAAATAAGCACAACTGCAGACATATAATGAGCATACCTCATCTCCCATTTCCCGTAAATATCTTATAAAATTCTGGAACCTGTTTTTATACCCTGATACATATCTGCAAAAGGGAAACAAATGCATTCAGTGAGTGCCAAGTTTTTACATTTTAACAGAGTAGGTAACAAATAGACCAAGATCATGTAACTTATATCGGAGACATCAGCAAAGATCTAAATTTTGACATAATTGACAGCTGGCGTATCACAAAGGCGATTGCCACAAAGATAACAACGTGAAATGTACCTCTATATTACTAATAACATCAATTAACACCCAAAGAATAACAATGATAAAGCTGTTACTGAAAAAGGTTTCAAATTTAACAGCAAAGAGTACATGAATCAAACATAAGAAGAAAAGGGTATCCTCAAAAATAGTTATACCAAGCAAAGAAAGCAAACGGAGAGAGACTCACGAGAAAGGAGAAGGCTCAACAAAAAGAGCAATACGACGAGGCTTGGAATTGTTCTCAGAATCAATCAAGGGAGGCCTTTCCTCTTCCCCATCTTCTTCTCTCACCTCTGTAATAGCCATTTTACTTGCTCTAACAACCGCTATCCTTCTATTCCTCTCACTCTTCAACCTTAGAGGCTCAGGAAAACGTCTTTGTTTACAAATCAGGCAAATGGGTATTGTAGACAAAGAATAAAAAGGCAAAACTTTAACAGAATTGGGAGGGTATAAAGTAAAAGAAGAAGAATAACTTGGAGGGTAAGCAAAGAAAGGAGGAGGATAGAGAAAAGGATTTATTGAGAGAGAAGAAGAAGAAGGAGACATGATGTAGTAGTGTATAAAAATTATAGCGGGAAGGTGTTGAGTCGGTACTTTGAACAAGTGAGTTAAGAAAAAAAAATCTTTTGATTGATTATTATGGAATAGAAGAATTGATAAAGGAATATAAGGGGCCTATGGAATATGCAGAGAATGGATATTCTCTTAAAGGGCAGACAGGAGTATCGAAGGAAAGCTCACTGAGAATATGCTTATTGGCTAAATGGCAGAAACCTACGGAAGCTTAGACAAAAAAAAACTAAATGATTGTTCCTTTGGTGATGAAAAAATTATTAAAATTTTTTTCAAGCTCAAGATAATACCAAGAGGCTTTGTCATTGATATTTTTACTGCAATGGTAATTAATTTCATTGGGTGCATTTTTGGAATTCGTTGGGAACATGTGATAAAATGCGTAGCAATTGCTTGTCTCTATTAAGCATAAAGGCTCACACTTGCCATGCAAAGGTCTTGCTTCATTATCCTCAAGGAGTCATATAGCTAAAGTAGTACCACAAATTGGCTTCTTTAGTGATGATACAGCCCTTTCCTGCCTGTCCTTTTTTTCACTAGAATCAAAGAATTTTGTTTCGATATACATGGAATATGACCCCATAAATTATTCAATTTTGATTCTTTGCATTCTCTTCATTGGCAATATATAATATCAGAGCATTTTGGTACAGCAATAGCTCGTGGTTGTGGTTGGCTGTCATGAGTTGGTTTGAAGACTTTTTGGAAGTAAAACTTGAAACTAACCTACCTGTCAAGATATGGCGATTTCTGGTTGACTAAGGTTACAACAATTCACTGTTAAAATTAACATGACTAATGTCATTATCAAACATTTGACAAGTCAATGTAAAACATGAGATTGCTTGATGGATATATTGATCTGAAGTCTATTGTCATCTTTGCAATGGATTAGTCACCTAGCTCATACATTAATTATAAACATCTAAAACAAATTAAGGAGATTTCTTTTAAATGGACATTGCTTGATCTCATAGATTATTTCATAAGTAATTGAGTTATATACCCATTTTACTTACTGATACCATGCAGCTTTTGGTTTTTTTTTTTTTTTTTTGGCCAGAGCTAAAAAGGGATATTTTGAACTGTATAAACTGTGGAGATCTTGACATATTCCATGAATATACTTTCCTTTGCATGCTTTAACACTTATCTGGTGGGTCACAAGCTAATGGTTCAGTTCAAATAGTATTTGTTATTTGTTGTTCAGAATAATTTATTTGCAGACCTGTCTTATTAACTGATTAATACACCTTGACACTCCCTATTAACATCAAGGAAAATTGATCATTTCCTGGCATTGTTCCTTTATATGCATACAAATTATGTTAGGTTCTTGTATTCTTCTTGCCAAGTTTCATAACGAAAGGATTATATGTCTCGAAGATATTTTGAAGTTTTCCTTAACAATAAAATAAAACAGTTTTTTGTTAATGAAATGAAATGGGAGTTTCATATGGGAACAATTATGAAGCAACTTGACAAATCAAGCTTGGTTTGAAGTCTTAATCATTAATTCAACGGAAAATGAGAAAGAGGATATGATGGGAATATCCTGAACCTTGGTTGTCCTGTTGGGTAACAAATGTAACTTTGATTTCTGATGGCAACATTTTTTTTTTTCATCAATCTTATTAGTGGCAACAAGAAAAAACAGATTGGATATGTTTTATACATTAAATAAGAATAACAAGTCTTAGCCAGATAATGGTTCAACCCAACGACCCAATCTTAAGAGGTTCAGCTTCTTGTAAGTCCAAAATACGTTTTCCCAAAATTTCATTGCCTCAAACAAAATTTATTTTGAAAAAAAACCAACCCATAACAACAAAAGAGCTTAAAAGCCTATGCCGATCCTAGCTTCAGGTCCATAAAACACCCTTCGGCTCCATTTCTTGCTTGGATTGACAAACTTTAACGCTTAAGTCTTATGTCATTAGAATCCAGCCCATCTTTTCTTGTCCTAAACTAAATGAGAGCTGGACCCTGGAAGCCTTCACCGGTCAGTGGTCAGTGGTCAGTGGTCCCTGCTTCACTGGGACAGGAAATTTATGATGGAAAACAGGAAAAGCCAACCAGCTGAATTGGTTCCACCGGTTAGGGTTGGCAGCTCAGTCTACTACCCACTCCCAAGATTTGATCTGATTTCATAAAATTGATTTTTTTTTAAAAATTAAATTTTAAATTTGATATTAAAAAAAAATTAGATCGGATCAATTCAAGTTTTAGATAAATTTAATCTGATCCGATTTGATATTTATAAAATTATTTTTAATTAATTATTTAATATTTTATTTATATATATTATATAATTTTATATTTATATTTTAAAAAATATTTTATTAATTTTAAGATCGAATATATTTATATAATATCAAATTAAATTGAATTCAAATATGAAAAAAATTCAAATCAAATTGAATTTGAATAAAAAAAAATAAAAAATTTCGAATGAAATTAAATTCAAATTTTATAAATATAAAATTAAATCAAATTCAAGACAAATAAAAACTCACTTTGATTCAATTTATTATCATTGTACACCCGATAAAGACTAAGGACAACCAAAAGAAGCATTTATGAATTAGTATAATTCTTTATCTCCTGAAGGCTATGAACTACGGTTAGTTTCACGTTCAAAGCCAAGTTTCGGTCCAAAAAATTTAAGGCACAAGCCACAAATTTTCTAAATAGAGCTGAATTCCAACATATTGATTTGGACTAAAATTATTGCTTAGACAATGTTGCTTGAATGTTAATTCATACTTTATCTCACAGAAGAGAATTCAATATAACAATAATCTAAGTCTTATATTTTATAATTATAGAATTGGTTATATGAAAAATAAAAAAATAATAATAATATTAGAAATCTTCTTACATCAAACATAAGAGATATAGGACACAAAATTCTAGATATTGTTTTGGCTCTAGCCCCACTTCTTATAATTTTTTTCTTTTATTCATTTTGTTAAATATTAGGATTAGATTAGGTAAGATAGTGACTCAACCAGATTTTGCAGTCCCATTTTATGAGCCGGAAATCTAGTTGAAGAACGGCATCCAGGCTTACTAATTCTTACTGTACTGTATTTGAATGAAGGCTAGCTTAGCTCTATAATCAGGCAAATAAGTTCTCTGAATGGCCGTGTCTCACTTTTGCTGCTTTCCTTTTCATTTTACTCTGGCATTCAAAAGCTTTTTTGACCTGACTTCTTGATTACTTGACCAGGAATTGCACTCCAATAGAGATGCAAAACTGGGGCCTGGCCTTGTCATGGCTACCAGTCAAAAAAAATAAATCCCAGAAGACAGCAAAATTCGACAGAAATTTTCTTCTGTCAAAGTGGTAAAGAAAGAGGGAAAAAAAAAAAAGAGGATGGTTGACCTCATATTCACGCCAAAGCCCACACTCCCATATTCAAATAGATTCCCTCTTTTCTCTCTTCTCTTTTTCATTTAGTATCTTTTCAGAAAATGGGCCAATCTCCAGCAATTCTATTTCCAGAACAGAATCAAGATATGGCCGGCATAAGAGCAAAAAGTAGGCCCTAACAGCACCTCAAAAGCAGCGCTGATAAGAAGAGTATATATCGAGTGCTTGTCTCCTTGTGTTCCCTTCCTAGTTGTTGCTACTCTTTATTTTTGACCAACCCTGCAAACCCCTTTTCATTTTCCCTCATTGCTCTCCTTTTCCTACGTTCAAATTCTTGTATGCTCCTAACGTTCTGATTCTTACTTACTATTTATACTAAACCCCACATTAAATAAGTAGACCCACTTTTGCCTAAGTTGCTTGATCTGAGGTTCAAATTCTTCTTTTTTTTTTCCAAAAACTTTCTCCCTATATTGGAATTATGGTCCCATAGTTATGAGATAAAATGCATATGAATGTAGTTTCAATTTGGGCAATCCTGAAATCAGAATCAATGAATTATGAACCAATTATGACAAACAATGACATTCGTGTATTTGATGGTCAGTTTTGGCTTCAATAATTAGTGAAATAAACAGCAATCATGCATTCAAATGCGCCTGGTGCTTGGCTCTTGCAAGTGTGCATGTGAGTGTGTGTATATATATATATATACAAACACATGTGAAAATTGAAATGCTCTGTCTAAAAGGGCGTTGGTTAGCCAAATGTTAAAGAATTTGGGCCTGCAGTCAACTTCTTTGAACAAGAATATGCTTACTCATAAATTAATTCACCTGCCAATCACTCATTTCAATGAACAAATCCTATCCTATTCCTTGTTTCAGTATCTTCTGTTTCCTTTTCAGTTTTCACTTTGTTCACACTAATTCATCAATAAATACCCTCTAAACCTTACCAACTGCCTCTTCTTCTTTGTTCACTTAGGAGAACTCCATTCTCACTTTCCCCATCTCTTAATCTCACCAGGAGGAACCAAAGTTTCTTCTAAAGGAACTGATCTCTTCCCAAAGTCTAGAATGTCAAGAAGAACAAGCAAGAGAGTGAGTTTCAGTCCTGACGTCAATGAAAGGCCAACCATCTTTCTGAAACATGGGGGCAGTGGCAGAACAAGAGGTAACAGAAGACAGGTCGTTGCTGGGATTTTTACGTTTAGGCTTGTCAAAAGCTCATTTTCACCAGCAAGATTGTTGAGGCGTCTTGGAGCTAAAGTTGCAACAGCTGTGCAGTTTGTATCCATTCGAAGGAAATCTTCACATAAGGTTTCTTCTTCCAATCTACCAAGGTCACGATCACTGGCTGAATCTATTGACTATCATCGTGCTGAAGCCATAGAAGATTGCATCGAGTTCTTGAACTCTTCTTCATCTTTGTCAAGATCAAACTCGGTTTCTACATGTTCTTGCTAGAATTGCAGTCCCGGGGAAGAAAACATGTAAATGAAACGGAAAACACAAGGGATTCTATATAATTCATTGATCATTTAATTTTCAATATGAGATGTAGAAAAATGCATGCAGAAAGCAATTGAATCTTACGTTCTGTTTCTATTCATGACTTGAACTTGATTCAGTTTAGAAAATTAAAAGATGCAACACATGAACTTTATGCAATTTAATTAATTACGCCATAACCACTGCCTGCTTTCACTGGGCAATTAGGTGGTGATTTAGGGAGAAATCATTTGCGAACATACGTGTCAGGGAAATGAACCCTTCTATGCCTGGGCCACCGTAGAGGGTTGAGTCTGAACAAATATTCAAATTGGAAAAGTCACTGTCAGGACGGCAGCTGAAAACTCAGCCAAATATCTGCCACTTGCTTTCTCATTTATGTAGTACTTTGAACCTGAATGATACAAATTCCCCCATACCCATTTGTTCCAGAATTCAGATCATTAACACAAGATTTATGCGTCTAGTTCAAGAAATAGTTCCAAACGCTCACGGTGTATTTAGGGAATTTCGAGTAAATTGTAATTCTTTCAAAACTCTTAGGAAGTGATTGATTTAGGAGAATTTGAGATTTTTTTTTGAAATTTTATTTGGGGAATGTGATTTTTATATTTTGTTTATAGGTATTTATTCTTAGATAATATTAGATTTTTAATAATATTCAAAAATCTCAAAATTAAAATTTTTTTTTTTATAATGTTTTAAAATTTTATGAAAAAAAAAAATTCTCATATTTAACCCAAATATGAAATATTTTTTATTAAACAAATATTACATTTGAAATGTAATTTTTAATAATACAAAGACTATTTATGACATTAAAAATATAATATTTGTTAAATAAAAAAAATTTTGAAATTTAAAAAATAAATACAAAGTTTATTATCTATAAAGCATCGTCTTTATTAATACAAAACTTACTTTTCTAACATAACACACCTCATATTTATTAATGAAATAAAACCTCATTTTTTTAATAAAAAATACCATATTTCGTTGCTTCGCAACCTTCGCATACCGGAGGAAATTAACCAATTAAAATCTCAAACAAAGCAGCCAAAAGTTTTTTTGTTTTCTAGCATTTGCACCATTCTGAACGGCCTCCCTGACAATTTCATCTGCCAAACCTTCATTACCTTTAACTCTTGGGAAGTCTGCTAGAGATTAGCGCCCCAAGAATCCAATCAACTTCCAGTTGATTTTCCTGCCCCTTTGTTGGATAGTCCAAAGGGAATTAAAAAACTTCACTGAGAAGAGCGATGTCATCATTTGCAGATGGTATTGAAAAAATTGGACCAATCCGATCAAGAGGATTATAACCAGAGTATGTCCATGTGTTTGAATGAATCGGTCTTACCATATTCTACTCTTCTGATTGTAAAAGTCTTATAACTTATTTACAAGTTTTTTTTTGTTATATTGTCAGTGCTTTGATCGCTCTTTGCAGTTAAACTCTGTTAATCAAAAATATAGTATTTATTTTTAATTTTTTCTTGTATGAAATACGACATTTTCAATATGAAAAAATCATCATTATATTTGCTTTCAATTACGTCGTTTATATTTGTAAATTTTTTTTTCCAAATATGATATTTTTTAATATGAAAACATCGTATTAATATTAAATATTACATTTCTGTTTTAAAAACCATTGTATTCAACGTTTTTATTATATTAACGTAATTTTTTTTCTTTTTTTATATTTTTAATAAAAAAATTGTATTTGAATTAAAATTTTATTGATCAAATACTTCGTTATATTTAACAAAAACGATATATTTGACATAAAATAAAAAATATTATAATAAAAAACTTTATTAAGTAATCTAATTTTTTTCAAAATCAAATACAAAAATTTGATATTATAATACCAGCAAAATCATCCGTCATAAAAAATCAACACTTCTATGAGAATCGTTTTTCTTTTCAAAATTTAAAATTTCACAAACCAAACAATTTAATTATAAATGAGTTTAGCCCAATGGATAAAGAGTTAAATTTTGAATAGAAATCTTAACTTTGAATTATTATTCGAATTTCCATGAAAAAGAAAAGTACTCGTTGTTTGGAACAAGATGCCACGGAAGGACTAAGATGATTGATAGTTTGAGGAACAGACAGGCCACCATGAGAGAGCACTCCACTTTCTTTTCTTGGAAATAAAGAGAAAGAATACATAGTATGAAACAAGAACAGTAATCATTTTCTCTCCATTAATAACCGGATATTGAAGTGGATTTGTCAATTTCTTAATATGTCCATCCGCTTAAGGCAAGTAGCAGTGAAATCAAGAATCCAAAGAATGCTTTTTAAGGTCTCGGATACCATGACTGGAAGCTTTCTTCATTTCAAGAGCTCTCTGGAAAGTTCCGTCAGCAATTTTCGGCAGAGGATATGAACGGTCAGAGTCATATCCACTTAGGTCTCCGCAAGCTAAAAATGGGATATAAACCTTAGTCGGCCCTTCCAACCATTCACTACCACAATCAGCCATTCAAACAAAGGAATTAAGAAACAATATGTATCTTTTATTAAAGAAAGAGAATTTATCCAAGTATACAAAAATCTTAACAACTAGTATGGATTTCAAACAAGTAGGAAACAGGATTCTTTGTAACTGATGTCCACTTACCTAGATCATCTCCACCAGAGGGACTGCCCACCATTTCCAGGAGGTGATGCAAGTCTTTTGGATTGAATCCTTCAGGAGGTAAATAATTTTCACAAACTGCGAATGCCTCTGTATAAGAATAAGACAAGTATTAGCAACACACTACGACAAACAAAGCAAAACTACTTTCTACATATTGTCAATTTGTTTAGAAATTGTTGTCAAACAATAAATCCAAAGAGTGGAAAGGAAGGAGGGTAAGAACTGGACATTTCATGCAATAGTATAAATTTCCCTGTTTATACAAGGCAATATAGACCATTCCACGGGTTTCTGTCGCAATGAATGAGCCAATGTCTCAGGTATAGACTATTCCACAGGTTTCTGTTTGCAATGAATGAGCCAATGTCTTAGGTTCACTGAAAGGAGAAAAAGTAATGCTGCTATTACAGAAAACTTAAAAAATGTGAGCCAAAAAAAAAATTATATTCAAAGGGAAAAAAAAAAAAAAAAAGGATAAACCAAGTGAGCAGCCAAGGACAAGCACACGTAAGTAACAAGTACATACGTGACTCTTATCTATGCTGGAGTTTCTGCTGCTTTTTGGTTTTGCAAAAGTAACTATTGGGTAAAATAATTTCAGCTGCAGGAAAGAAGGAAAAAGTAAATGTAAAAGGAAAGGGAATTTATCCATTTAAGGAGTTGGGTACTGTAATAAGCTTTATAATTATATTAACAAGCTTAGATACTAAAGTTGAGAGTTTTTATTAATTTAGCTGGCAATACAGAAGACTTGTATCTTTTCCACGAAATATTTTTGCAACAAATTTTCCACCTTGTCTATGTACATGGGTAACAATAGTTAAACCTTGCATAAATATGCAAAATCACGAAAACTAAATCAGCAAATTTGGGGAAAAAGAAAGAAAAAATAAAATGTAAAATATGGTAGAATCATGATATTCAAGTTTAATTAATGGCAGGATCTTGTGGGAAGGACTATCTATGATGAAGGCGTTATCACAATTCACATCCATGTGCATCAAAGTTATTCACAAATCTGAGTTTCTCGTTCTAGAAGCAGGCTAATATTAGACGAATTAGAACACTTACAGCGAGTATGAGTTGGCACTGAACAGATTCATCCATGTCATGAAGACCAGTAACTGCAAATGCAGAGGCAATAAAGCAAACTTTAGAAGATTAAGGGGGCAAAAAAGAAACAACTACAATGCTATAGACCATAGGCTGAGAAGTTAAAAACCACAGATATTGTTTTTTACCATCAGGAGCACCATCGCACACAACAAGGTCAGCCTTACAGCCATCAAAATGTCTAATTACCTGCAAATGACGCAAATAAATAACAAATGACAGCATATATATATATATATATATATATACGCATTCAACCAAAAACATAAGGTCAAGCAAATTAAACCTTAGCTCTAAACAAGTAAATCATACATATGCACCATCCATATTTTCTAACTCCCTCATGGTGATAAGCACAAGCACAATGAGTAGTAAGTCATCATAGATTATGCAAGTGGATCAAGGTTGACATTATCTTGCCTATAATAATTGGCTCTCTGTCCCAGTGCTTTTGGCATTCAGGCAATCTCCTAACGTGCTACCATCCAAAAAAGATAAAAGAAAGGAAATTTTCAAATTCTCATAAACTGAAAGACACGTTACAAAGAATTTATTCAGGTGAAAAAAAAAAAAAAGCATCCTCACCACTTCAGGCGTTCAGGCATTAGTTATATCACCCTGCACTTGGATTACACCTTCAATTGGAGCCATTGGCTGCAATAAGAGGAAGATCACCATCCCTACAAGTTATGATAAAGTAATCTACGGTCACAACAGAAGGTAGTATTAGTATGCATAAAGATCATGGGCCTCATGTTTGAAAAAGTTTCACATTTTTACAGATAACACTGATAAAAGCAAACGAAAATGTCAATAGCAAATTAAATTTTCTGATTGAGAAAGAACGAGCAGGCAGTGCCCGAAGACCAGACTTCAAGGTGGATGTGTCACGGGCGTCGGTCGCTCACACAGGGTGTGACATATGCATTGGCATGCCCCATTAGATAAAGAAATAAACTTTTGAAGGCAAATAAAAACCAACAAGAAAGCAGAAAGGAACTTACTTTGAAGCAGGCGACTGCTTAGCAGGAAGATACAATTTGCGACTCAAAACCTGCCGCATTACTAGCAAGCTAGTTAATGAGGAAAAATTAGTTAAAGGTGGCTAATTGGGCTATTCTGTATTATTAAATTAGTACAAACCTGACTCCAGCTACCTGGGGCGGCACATAAATCTACCACGCGCTTTACTCCTATGAATCAAATCATAATCAAACCAGTGAAAACGATCATTTAAAGGCATTTAAAATATACTATTACCCGGTACATATTTGGAAATTTAACCTACCAAAATGTTGAATTCTTCGTCTATCTGAAGAAGCTTAAAGACACTTCGGGCACGCCAACCTTCTTCTTTTGCTTTCCGATAGCAAATATCCTGAATATCAAATAGCTTAACTTTGATATAGGCTGCTAAATCACCAAATATCCCAATAAAGAAATTAAGAAAAAAAAACTCACCCTCTTTATCCCTGGAAACTTTACCCATGATTTCAATGGTTTACCGCTTTTATATTTTTCTACCGAGAAAATTCCAGAGAAAAACTTCACAAAAGTTGGCTCGGAGCAGAACATTGAAGGGCACGGGGGAGGGCGGTGGGGAGGGGACTTTCTAAAACTCCGGAGCAGGGAAAGGGCTTGTTCGATAGCCAAGAAGTCAAATGGAGACTATGTTAAAAGTTAAAAACTCAAAACTTCGTATCTAGAAGAAAGTAACTGGGCCGACAAAAAACAAGACGACATTGGGGATGTTCAATTAGAATTTTTTCAGAAGGTCAATGCTGTTTCATTTACTGTTCCAGTTGGGATTTTTTCAGATTACCAGTTGTTTGTTAACGTGTGTTACGTTCAATCAGCTAGAACCCAAATTTATGTTGCATCAGAAACATCTAAGGACACCGAACCTCCCTCAGTTGCTCTGTTAAAACTCCAACATTTATAGCAAGATTCACGTAGAATCTGAGGAAGTTACAATTTCGATCTAAATTCTTGAATGCCATGTATTAGAGGTTCTATTTCACCAATACCATAAAGAAGAATGCAAATAAAGACTTTCCAAATCATACCACAACCAAAACTATATATATATATATAGTTGCATAAGCAGTATCTAACACTCGAATGATTGATTCAACATAATTGTAACGCTAATGGAATGCACTTCATTTCTACAATCTATAGTTGTCTGAAAAACAAAGAGATCCAAAAATCTCAATTTTGAAGGCCGATGACACTCTGATTGTGCTATGAAGAACACAAAATCTCAAGAATGAGGATCCTATGAAAGGTAATAGCACCCTATGCTCAAGTTTTTGTCATGTTTAGAACTCCAAGTAATACAGATGATATTCAGTTTCAACTGGCAGCAGGGACAGTTGCCGGCTTTGCATCCTCAGCTTTCTCATGTTCTTTGTTTAGCATCTGAAAACCAAATTTGCCAGTCAAAACTCAATCTACAAGCTTCAGCATGGTTTAAATATAACAGGGAAATCATGAGTGAGTTTCTTACCTTGTTATTGATCAAGTTATGGAGTGCAATGACACTTCGGATGAGAGATGACAGATATATAACCAACATCATATCATTTGTTTTTACTGCACAACATGCAGAGAATGTGGATCAATGAACTTCAAAAGTTAACACATATCCCTCTCTAATCTGAAAGAACATGAGCATTTTCAGAAATTTTTGAGATATTTGTGGTTAATTTTGTAATACCCGCAAAAGCCTTGATTAATTCATTTACGTTTAGGTTTGGCAGCAAGTTGAACACATCCTGCAGTTTAAACATGGTAGAACACAGGTAAGGCAGGTATTAAACAACCCATATAGGTTCAAAATTATATACTCTTGTCTATATTTGGGATATAATCATGTAGGTAAGTCCAAGGGAAATTTATGCAATCAAGTATTAAAGACTTAAAGTTCATAACTGCAAATGTTTTTTAATTTCACTTTCAGCTTTCACTCAAATTAGTTTACCTGTAAATGGTACAGTATTTCATGATTCAGCGGAAGCTTCTCATCAATAACAAGATCAAGGTAAGAACGTATCTCTCGTAACCTTGCATCCAAACCCTTCAAAGCTGTGAGTTTTCCAGTTACCTGTGAATAAGACCAAGGTATATATATACATACTCCCTTTGTCATTTTTCAAATAAAGCTTCAACTTTCCACGAAAGTAAAAGTTTTAATATTAACTACAACTGAAAAATAAATAAATAAATAAATAAAGAAGAAAGAAAGAAACCTCAGTTGCAAGTGTGCTAATGGTTGTGTCCTTTACATCCCTTAGCAAGTGTTCCACTCCTGTTTGTGGTGAAAAAGGAGTTATATTGGTAACAAAATTAATGGCCCGAAAATCCAATCAACTTGCATCTTAACCCAAAGGGTAACTTTCTGAGAAGATAACAAATTTTCATCTAAAGACATACCAATCTCCTCAACTTCATGTGCAGCAATTTCTGAAGGAACATGAACAAAAACCTTTTGGCTCTTTTGAGTAGCATTCTGCAACATTACCGGCATATTAGTTCAAATGCTCACCAAGTAAGAAAAAAAGGCAGAACCTTCATCGAAAAGATTATTGCTAGTTATAGCCCCACTTAACATCCAAAGGACTGCCTGTCTGCCTAAACAGTTAAGCCCCTTCTCTCCGTCCCACAAAATAAAAAATGATGCATCCAAAAATTGTTCTTACCTCCTTAACCTCTTCAACATCATAGTAGGCCTTGGAGGGTATCCCCAGCTCCTTAGGTTGGACGTCAATGATGACCAAGACAGGATTTGGGACATAACTGCAACACCAAAAATACTTGATTAAGAGAATGGACTCCAAAATGAAGTTAAAAACTGTATAACAATTAATAGAATCTTACTTGTGGAATAATCTGTGAATGTCTAGATCATTCTCCCGTAATTTTGGGCCAGTACTATACCAACCAACAACATGTTCCTTGGCTACAACAATTATCACAATATATCCAGAGATAAAGAATATCACTTCCTCATAGCCAAAACAAGAAAGGAGAGAGAATAAATAAATTAAAAGTAGCAGCATTGTTTACTCTAAGTTGAGAAAATAATTACCATTAATCCTCTTGAACATCGAAAACATTGATTCATGGTAGTTGTGGTCAAGGAACCATATACTGGGGTCCTTCTCATCTTCCTCAAAAGGGACTGAAAATTCAACATTCTACCGTTTATGCATGATAAAAATAATAATAGAGAATCAAGTGTTAACACAAGCTCAATAATAAGAAAACTAAACTACAGACACATGAGGATGGTCAAGACATATCATCAAATACTTCTTTAATTACACCATCTTCAACAACATGCCATCTTTGGCTTCAGTTCCATAAATTCAAGCAAAAAGAGGAAACTTTATGTAAAGGAACCTAACAAATTGCCTTCAATTCAAACTCGACATTCTGAGCTACAAAACCCTAAAACGCAAAATTCACTCTCAATAACCTAAAATTAACAACTATAATTCAACTCAAACGTCAAATCAATCAGCAATCGTGCAAAATATAAGAACAAAAGATTTCCCTGAACAGCATTTATTACAGAAATCAAAACAAATCAGATCTAGAATGAAATTCTGAGAAATCAAAGAGGAAAAAAAAATAATAAAGGGGGAAACCTGCGTAGCTGTTGGTGACGTCAACGTTGCCTTTGAAGGAAGTGCCAAGGAGGACTCCGACAACGCGCTTGCGCGTGTCTTTAGCGACGCGATTGTAGTTGTCGACGATGCTGAGGAGAACCAAAGGGTGGACTATCACCTTCTCTATCGGTCGAGATGATATTTGCTGTGTTTTTATCACATCCATTTTTTGTTCTTGGTTCTTTGATTTCTCTCTGCGAAAGCGTCAGCCTTTTCTTCTTGCTTTGGTTACGTTTCCTCTCCAGTGATGAGTTTTTCTTGCCGCACGGGAAACCAATGTATTGTACCAAGTGCTCTTTTTCTTCGTGATTATCATGTAGAATTTTGTTACATATATTATTATTAAATTATTTAAAATATGGTACACAAAATTATAATATAATAAAATAAAATAATATTATAAATAAAATTAAATTAAATAATATTATTATATTTTGTATTTAATATGTGTAATGATTAAAATATGATAATTTATATAATGATCAAAATTATCTTTCTTTAAAGTTTGAATAATTTAAATAATTAATATAATTTTTAATAATATAATAGATAGTAAGTTCAATACATGAATTAAAAATAATTTTTTTATTTGTTTGATGTATAGATTTATGGATAAAATATATAAAATAATAATTATCTTATATTATGCTTGATTTATATTTAAAAAAATTGATAGAATTACAAAAAAAGTTAATTATTTTTTTTGTATAGGATAATTTGATCCTTCTAAAATGAAAATGATTATTTTTAATCCATAATATTGAACATACATATCATATATAAATTTTGAGGAAAAATAATTTTGACTAAGAAATAAATTATTATATCATATTTTTCATACACATCGAACATAAAATATGATGATATTATTTAATCGAATTCTATTTATAATATTATTTTATCTTATCCTATCATAATCTTATGTACCAAATATATCCTTAATATCTAAGATGATGGTTATGATATAATGATATATTTAATTTGTATCTAAAAAAAATTATAAAAAAGATTAATCATTTTTTTATATAAAATATTCAATCTTCTCAAAACGGAAATGATTATTTTAATTTATGAAATTAAATTTACATGCTATCTTATATCCTTAAAAATTATATTAATAATTTAAATTATACAAATTTTGAAAAAAGATATTTTTTATTAATAAATAAAATTATTTTGTCTTAATTCTTGCATACATCAAACACAGGATAAAGTTACATTATTTAATTTAATTCTATTCATAATATCATCTTATCATATCATACTTTGATATGTTAAACACACACTTAATATATTGTGTAGAAAATATAACTTACAATTTAAAACACGAAAATGATATAAAAAAATTAAAGTAATACCATTTAAATTTTAAATAAAAATCATTTATAAGTTAGGTGAATATAAAAAAAATATGTTTTGTGTTTGATTTATTAGTATAAATTATAATACGATTATTTTATATTTTATACGCATTTAATATATAATATAACATAAAAATACAAATGATCAATTCTAATAAAAAATAAATATGTATCTTTTTCCTACTTCACAAATATTTATATCTTTTACATTTAGCGTGATTGTTACTTTAATTTATAATACATTTTGTTTGCAATAGCAAAAAGCAAACAAGTTTTTGTATTAAAAAAAATCAATAAAACTTTTAAAGAATTAAAAATAAAAAAGTATATGAGATTATATTTATGTGAATCAAATTCATTTGAATAGGATTACATATTAATCATTTGTAATTTATTTGCTTTAATCCATTATAACACATTTTTACATTTTATCCATACAAGTAAATTAGAGTTAATGTTCATCATCATGATTGATTTTGATTTAATTTGCCATTTTAATATTTCTTACATCAAACTAAAAAAGTTTTAGTAATTAAAATTCATGATCATCAAGTTAGTGCGAGAGAATGCGTTTTAAAATCATTTGAGGAAAGATTAAATTTAGACAAAGCTTGACATACCTCTTATCATATTAGAAAAAAAATTAGTTAATACATACATAGGTTACGAGTTTAGCACAAAAAATAGAGATGTCAATAAAAAAAATATGAGGCAAGTAAAATATTTTTACTTTTATATATTTTTAATTTTTTATATTGTATACATCTTGGTATTTATATTTAATAGGTATTTTAAATTTATTTTAATTTTTATTCTTATCGATATTTAATGAGTATGAATAATCTCTATATCTATAGCTTTTTAAAAAAATAAAAAAGTTTATTTTTTTATTTTTATCTTACATATTTAAATAATTTTTTTATAAATATATATATTTTAAATATAAAAATATTAGTTTTAATTAATCTAAATAAAATTTATATTATTAAATAAAAATTAATTTATTAAATAAATAAAGTATAAATACGAGACAAGTGTAACATTATCTATCTTTGTATCCATACTCATTAAAAAAATTTTAAAACCAGACGCATCTTTGTCTCCATTTTCAAATTTTAATACCTATTTCTTCCCTATTCCTGTTGGGTTGAGTAAGATTAACATATTTAAGAGAAAGAGTTACAAATTAAACATTAAAGAAGTAAGAATAGAAATCAGGTTCAAATTAACAACAATTTTAAATGATGAGCTAAAATTTTATGTTTGCTACATAGAATTATAAGAATGATCCTTAATTATTTCTGATGTTACATATAACTAATCTAATCCTTACACATCTTAATCAAGGAGATTTTCTGGATCTTGAAAGGCAAGTTCTTGTAATGTTTCACTAAAGTCTGGGGATTCACTTTTATTTGCTGGCTCTAATGAATCCCTGTACTTGAAACGAAATGCCACCAAACTGTAGAAAACAAGGTTAACTAAAACCATGAAAGCCAATGTCCAGTAATAATTGTCTAAGCGACTCTTGTTCAGGGTGTCCTTGAACCAACTTGGTTTCGTCCCCCCCTTTTCACTTATCTTTCCCACCACAAACACCGAAATTACACTGATCATTATCCCTACTCCACGAATGCCCTCACTCAACCAATTCATGTATGGAGTCATGGAGGGAGGAACCTGGTTTGTAAAGAAACCGACAACACTTTGTTCGAAAATTCCATCCAGGGCCCCAAGTAACGCAAACTGTGGCAACAGCCAGAAAAAATTAATGGGAATTTCGTCATCTGGCTTGTCGAGTAAACCATGGCTCTTAACCACATCTAATCTCCGAACCTCAACTTTTGCAGCAGTTATACAACAAAGGATGGCAAAAACCATGGAAACCGCAATGCCAATTGGGGGACGATACTTGCTTGGTTTGCCTCCACAATTTAAGTAGAAACTACTGTAGTTTGACTTCCAAACCTCACAAATGTAGGGAAGCACTAGAAGAGGGTATTTCTTGCGATTCAAGTGGTTCGCTTGAGAATGTGGCCAACAGAGGATGCAAGCCCACAGACAATGAAACACAAACACATAGGAATTAAGCGACTGACAATCTTCGTTTCTTCAACTTCAGTTACTCTACAAAGTCTCCATCGGTTGTTTTTTTGTTGCTCTAGAGGTTGATTTGGCAATATAATGGCAGCTTTATCCAGAAAACTGCACCAAATATTATGAGATTCAACAAACTATAGTTTTGCTAAAAATATATTACTAGCTATTAATTAACTGAAAATCTAAGAGAGAGAGAGAGAGCTAAAACCTGAGATCATCGGTGTGATCCAGAAAAAGGATATCATCATCAGCTTTAGCAGCAGGTTTCTCATAAGGCCGACGAGCATCCTTTGGGGTACGAGTGCACATTTTGGAAGCAGCCGCATGAATGACCCTGAACACTGTGGTAAATGGGCTCCCTTTTGGGGGTTCACGGTTATAGTGACACGAACCAGTTAAAAACACCAAGGTCGCTGCAGTTGTGCATATAGCCGGTAGCCCAAATTTAATAGTCCATGGATTTATATAGCTCAATGATAAAAATGCAGCTGAGGGAATTAAGCTCACAGCAAAGAGTCCAAAACACAGGCCTATAGCCTCTCCACCACTGATTTCTTTATCTTCTCCCTCCATTTCTTTATCATGTTTTTTCAAGAATGGGACTAGGGAGGATCTTAGACCTGATATTCCAAAAGCTACTAGAGGGAATGCTGTGAAGAAGAGAATTCTCTTTTCGTCGCTGATACAGGTGGGCTCGTATGAAGTACACGTGCCGCCTGTTTCCTTTGCAAAAACTGATGGTATTGACATTGACAATAGCCCCATCCCCTGTACGCCATAAATTATTATAAGTGGCAATACCAATTAAAGACAAAATTAGGGGATGCATTGATTTGATTTGAAGAGAAGACTTACATGTAGTCCTCCTCCTATATATGAAAATGTGACTTTTTGTAGAGAAGGGAAAATGAATAGGATATAAAATTAAGTGTTCATATTCAAATATAAACCTTTGTGTTGAGAAGAATCTTACTGCACTACAGGCTAGACTGGACATCGAGAGCATCCAAAACTTGCCCATCACAGTATCAGCAAGAAATAACATGCAAAATGGCAGCGTAGCCATCAGACCCCGCCAAAGATTGACAATGGCAGCGGCAGGCGTGAAATTAAGCTTCCATACATCAGTGAGGTATGGCGTCATCAGCCATACGACATAGGCATTAAACAAATCCGCCCAGTTAAGACCTACCATGCATTGGAGGAGACAAGATTTAACAATCAGCAGCAGTACCGATAACAGTTTCGTGCAAGTTGGCAAACATGGAAGATAAAAATGTTAAGAGACACAGATAAGACTTAAAAGTAACTAAAAGAGATAGGCCGATGAAACAGTCTGTGTTTATAACATGTTCCATGCAAAAATAAAGCAATAATCTTATTCATCAGCAATCAAATTAAGGCTGAGAGGGGAAGGAATAAAGAAACAAAGGCTAGTTATTACCAATTATTCGCCAGATAGCAGATACCATTTCTGGTCTCACTTATCCGGTAACACCAGCAGTGAAGTACTGCTTATATAGACCAGATCGCTGTAAAACTCTACTCCTATCCTCCCACACAAAAAAAAGAAAAAAAAGAAAAAGAAAAAAAAAGGGTAAAAGAAAGCGAAAACCGTGTTTTAGTCTCAATCAGCAGTTCTTAGAAACACCTGACGATACTAACGACGCAAGGTACGCTGGTAAGGACAAAACTTAAATTAAGGTTCTTAGATGAAGATTGAGAAAAATATTTTTTAATTGATTTAATAAAAATTTTAATAAAAAAATTTAGTTTGATAAAATTTAATGTAAAAATTAATAATATATAAAATAAATTATTAAAAATTTTATTTATAATTCAAATTGGATAAGATAAAAATTTTGTTAATAATTTTATTAAAAATATTCATCTAAAAAAATATATAAATTTTTTAAAAAATTTTTTAGATTTACACATTTTCTACGTAACAGACCTTTCAATTCATAAATTTTAATTTTTAATTTTAACTTTTATTTAATTTAATGTTTTTAATAAAAAAAATTTACAAATTTCATTTAAAAAAATTCATCTACTTCTTTTTCATCGGTAAGATACTATGCTTTTTAGCAGGAAAATTGATTCCCTCCGGAATGCTAGCTGGACCTGGAAATCAGAGAAGCTAGGGGAATGGTCCGTTTTCTTAGGAATACCCTATTGCTTTGTAACCCACATCCATTCACTTTTTCTTATTCCTTATGCTTTTTTTTTTTGCTTTTACGTTTTATTTTTTCATCTAAAGAAGGTTGACACGAATGATAAAAACAAGGATAATAAAAGACTGAAGCTGAAAGGCAGACACTGTTATTCATTAAGGAATTGCAAGAATCCATCAAACAAGACGCTACAATCCTAGATTCCTAGTCATATATATATATATATATATTGCAATTGATAAGAATGAAGCTAATATCAACAATAAGTTTTTGTAATGTATATGTCAACGACACTATATAAAAGTTGTCTATTGATTAAAATTTTAATATTTGAAATTTTTAGTTCCATTATATAAATATATCTTGTACCAATTTCATTAAAAAAATTTCGGGAGATTAAGTTGCCGTATTTAAAGCTATATTGCTACATATTTTAGCCTCATACATGCCAATGATACATTGGTTCTATTTCGGTATATATATATATATTTTAAAGTAAATAATACCCATAGTTTTTAAACTTTGAACCACATGTCGTTTTAATCCTTATACTTTCAAATATCACTTGTTGATTTCTAAACTTTCAACGTTATATTTAAATAGTCCTTCTATTAATTTTTTTTAAAATCTTACCTTAAATATTAGTTGATATTATGTATAAGCACAGATGGCCTACATGTAAATGTTGAAATTATTTGTATTTTTGTATTTAAGTTTAATTTTAAAAATTTATATTATATATAAAAATAAAAAAAATAAAACTTTAAAATTAGAAAATACTAAATTTTATTTATTTTATATTTATAATATATTATCTAGTTTTTTAAGCTTTAAATTTTATTTATTTTAAATTATAAAACTAGATAAAATATAATTATTAATTATGTTTAAAAATTAAAAAAAAAACAAAAACTTATTAAAATATGAAATTTATTTATTTTAAACTATAAAATTTGATAAAATATATTAAAGATATATTATATTTAAAAAATTAAAAAACCATTTAGAAATAATTTTTTGAAAATTATTTATTTACAATTATACAACTAGATAAAATATACAAATATATTATATCTACAAAATGAAAAAAGAAACTTCTTAAAATTAGAAAATTTTAGAATTTATTTATTTAAACTATAAATTTTGATAAAATATATTAAACTGTATTATATATACATAAAAAAAAACTCATTCAAAAAGAAAATTTCGAAATTTGTTTATTTTAAATAATAATATTTGATAACAATATTAAAATATATATTATATTTTGAAAAATAAAAAACTTCTTAAAAAATAGTAAATTTAAAACTTATTTATTTGAATTATAATATTTGTAAATATATTAGAAATTTATATGATGTTAAAAAACAATTATTTTTGTTATTTTTTTATTTTTAAAAATAATAAACAAAAAAGTAAATATTTTTTCTTTTCAAATGTCACATCAATATTTTCTTCTAGTTAAAATCACATAAAACACTTAAAGTTAGAGTTAATGATTAAATAGAAGAACCAATTCAATATGATACTTAACAAATAAAAACCAAAAAGTTCTATTTTGAAATTTGTTCATATGCAATCTAAATTTTGAAAACTACGGATGCTATTTGCCCTTTTGTATATATGGAGTTGAGCCTACATACAAATTCGATTACCAAGCTCAGTGACGCGGGCTTGTGACCCAAGTAGCTCCAAAGTCCAACCACCTGAAACAGAGGATGGTAGGTCGAACCAGTATCAAAATAGCATAGCATAACATACCATTAACATGTCTTTAGACTCTGAATGGGCTGCATCTGTCAGAGTGAATATGCCTTAATTGCTCCTGGAACTCTTCCAGTGACAAGAATATAAAAAGAGAATATAAACATTTACGGTCCCCTCTCAATCCTCATTCTCTTACCACAAATACAATGGCCTCAATATTTATGTATTTTTACTTCACTCTTTTTTTTCTTTAATTGGATGAATCCAGTTCACTTCTAGGTGTCTCACGCTGGCAACTGACCCATAAGCTTTCATGGTGAGGGTCCAAAGATCCCAACTTGTCCGTAGCCTAATGGTGAAGTACTTGGATTTGGAGCTTGGAATATGGAACTCTTTTTTTTTTTGCCAAGTTGTGGAACTCGGAAGTTCAAAACGACACCCTTGGCATATCATATATGTGTAATATTCATTAATGAAGTAGAAAAATTATGTGAACTGAGCTCAGCTAATGTGGCAAATGTGGGTGGTAAAGTTTATGAAATGAAAGAAGATCTATTACAAGTATAAAAGACAATTGATTTAATTCTGAAAAGGGTGTAAGAAATGGATTAAAACCAAATCTTTCTCTTGGAGTTTGGCAGTATATCTGCAAACTGGAAACTATATACTTCTCAGTAACAAATCAGAGCTTTACTGATATAGCAAATATAATAAATGTCAAGTCCTTGCATTAAACAGATTGAATTTAAGAGCTGCTGCAGTTGTGGGGTAGGCTGACAGTGTGCCTAACATAACAGTGCCAGATTTGGAGCAATTGCAGAGTAGTATAGCAAGTTCCATTCCCTTTTGTCATGGCCACGTTCATTGTTAGTGAATAAATAAACTGAAAACACCCACAAGTCTACGTTGATTTATGAGGCAGAGTGTAGGCAATCCAGCTGGTTCTAATCAAGGGAGGAAGATGGGGATTGGTCCCCTTTGCCAGGATGGACCACTCAAATCCAAAGCAGTCCATTGATTTTTCTAATACTTATTTCTTACCTTTTATTGCTTCATATAACTTGTTTATTGTTCGTTACAGCTCTGGAGTAAGCCAAATCTGGATGCTTGTAACCTTGTCCACTGTATCAGCCAGCTCCTAGAATTCATTGGTAGTGACCATATTGCTCATTTGCTTAAATTCGATGAGAGATACTAAGAAAAAATGGGAAGATTTCCAAAATTTGCCAACAGTTGTGATATTGATCAGATGGAATATACCAACTAAACTCTGTAAATTGTGAGCTCATTTTTGAGACATTAATGATCTAGTTTGGTCTATGGCTCTCTACTATAGGTCCAAAAAAAAAAAAAAGACTGGACATCTAGTCAGCTGCATATCCTGCAATTTCATCTAAGTGTTGTCAGAAAATTTCTTATGGAAACTAGGTTGTTATTTAAGCATCTGAGACCTACTGAAAAGGAAGAGAAAGGTGAAAAGCAGGTCTTATTATTATCTATCATCTTGAATAGCGGTTGGTCCATTAAAATGGAAAAGAGACGATTGTAGTACATTTCACCTAAGCAGGCAAATACAAATGCTTAATAAATTCCATTGACACAAATGCATTGAATTATATCAAATCACTAACTAACTAGAAAGCCAGCAGCCATCCTTTGATTACCTTTAACTTTCTTTAATTATCAAAGAGAGAAAAGTAAAGAAATTGAAGAGAGATTAATTTCATAAATATTCATATTTAGCTTGCTGATTATACCGATTAATTTGAAACTATGATTCAATTTCCCTTGTTTGAGATTTGTCTTGAAACTAAAACAACAACAATACAAATCATACGTCTCAAATCAATGCTGCATTACTCACTCTCAAGTCTGAACCAATCTCCGTAGTCCATCGTCCACATCTTATGAAACCAACCCTTGGGGCCACAAAGCAAAGGCAAGGCAGTCACATCCCTATCATCAATTCATCATATGGCAAGGCACCACCATCGTCAGCAGAAAACCAGTGTCGTTGGACATTGGCCCTAACACATTAAAGATTTGTATGTATCAAAATAGTAGCAAAAATATACATAGTTATTTTTATAGTTAATATTATAATCAATTTTTATTTGTTAAGACAAAGTTTTAACATGATGAAAAACAATAGACAAATTGACACAAATTAATTTGCTTCTGAATTCTGAGCCATTTTTTCTTGGGCCTTTTCCTTTTCCTTCTTGGATGGAACACGACCATCTGTTCCTGCAAGCATAGCATACTTGTCCTTCCTAGTCAAGTTAGTGCACTCGAATCCCAATGTCCCAGCCAT